AAAATGCGCTTATTCGGGGTGAATATCACCGCTTCTCGCCATTTGGTCCAAGTTGTTCCCATGCAGCAATGAGAGATGCTCACAGTAGTACTTACAGAGAGCAACAAATTTACCACACGACTTACAGTTTCTGGCATCGAGCGTATGGAAGTGCTGGTGCTTGTCTTATGGAGACGGTGCACGGGATCGGAGCAAACATCAACGAATACTTCACCCAAATCAGAAATCAGCAAGAGCGAGGAAAGACAACCTTCCTCATCTTGTCTTCCCTATGACAACTTTCGCTTCCAACCGGAGCTATATCTGCATATGAGAGCCGCCTTGTTTGCTGTGATGTGAACTATCTACAAGAAGCTTCGCGAAATCTCTGAGAATTGCAGTAATCTGGTAATAAAGAAGTGATGGTAAAGGAAATGAGGAATCCCAGAGTTCGCACATGAACAGAACGCTGTTACATCATGAAATGGCCAGTAATGTAGATGACTTCATAAAGTGTAATGACTGTATGGAATAACTACGAACATACAGCTCTGAGATTAGGGTCTAGATATTTATTTGCTTTCATAAAATCAAAAAAAGCTCCAATTTGAATGAAAAATTCGTCAGATTCATTAATGTGGAATAAGAGCACGCATGAGTGCAAAGAATCTGAAGTGTTCACGGTACCTGAAGTGTTACCAGAGAGTCCCAGTTTTGGATTTCAGGAGAAATACCTCCGTGCATGCACAAAAGGCGACTGCTCACAACTGCGCAGAGTGGCATTTCATTGAATACCTAAAATCATAAAAGCGGCTAGGTAGTCTGCATAGTACATCACCAGCGCCGACATAAAAACTTTGTCTTGCGACCTTACTTCGTAAACAGCGCAAGCCATTTGATTCCAATGTAGGCTCTGATCTTATGGTTAGCCAAGCGGTTCTGATTTTGGGAATGGTGAATGAAAATTCGTCTACCATTTGACTAATCAGTTCTTGTAGCAACTGCTTCACTCTATGGAATTGAAGATCTAACAGAGGTACAAAATAGATCGTTTTTCTACTTTGCGGATTACTGCCTACTGTTCGCGAATATCGTGTAGAAAAGGGGAGCTTCCATGTATGAGGGGATGGGAGACTTCTTGCATGTGTCGCACATCACCAGGCTATTCATCGCCCAGTGAGCCGCCATTAATGAGAATCATACAGCAAGACATTCTTGGAATGTCCTTCCATGAACACAAGCCGGTTTCTGTTCACTTTGCTGACCGCCTTCAAAACATGAAGTTATCCTCCGTCGCCGTGAGCTCAATGTGACCTGCAGCAACTGATCTGCATTCTGAAGCAAATCAAGTACTTCTTCCATCTTCTTCAACCTATTCTGCGGTAGGCGGCTTCTAGTACACTCTGACTATGCTGGCAAATTTCGAGATGTCGTAGTGGCTCACGATCCGTGAAGGTACTTACAAGGAAAGGATGGTAGGTCGAAGTGGCCGTTTAAAATGAAATGTATACCACCTGATGCGTCTCCAGACGCTGATTCCAAATCTGCCTTCCAAATCTGCTAAACGGCTCTCCGAACGGAGTTATGAAGCGTAATAGCTCAGTGGTGATGGTCCGGGGTGGCAGGTAAAAGCTCGTAGGATCGGTTCCTTTGCAAGTTTGTTGCTTTGCTTTTGTCCGCAACACTTCTAGAGACAAAAGCAAAGCAACCAACTTGCAAAGGAACCGATCCTACGAGCTTTTACCTGCCACCCCGGACCATCACCACTGAGCTATTACGCTTCATAACTCCGTTCGGAGAGTCGTTTAGCAGATTTGGAAGGCAGATTTGGAATCAGCGTCTGGAGACGCATCAGGAGGTATACATTTCATTTTGAACGGCCACTTCGACCTACCATCCTTTCCTTGTTAGAGTTCGAACCTGGCACCATGCTCCCTAGGCAGATTTTTCTGAGGTCGCCCGCGTAGAAGGCTACCATGGTTGTTTCACAGCTTGAATGTGTAGTTCAGTATTGAATTTGTAGCATCGGGTATGAGTTTGGAAAACTGCGATCAATTCAATCTTGAATGTGGAGGTAAGGTTTTCATTGCCCCGCCCCCTCTCATACATACCGTGCCATGCCTTGGACTGACGTACAAGCAGTCTTCACTGATAACCTTCGAGGAAGCATAAGAAGTCATGTCATAATGAAATGGATTGTTGAGTAAGGAGAAGGACGAAGAGTTAGACGAATAAAGGAAAAGAAAGGAAAAGCCCATGTATAAACATGCTGAAGCGGAAAAATAGGAGGGTCCAACATGACGTGACGTTCATATCACATAGATCACCCATCGTTAGAGCTGAATTTGATCAGTTTGGAACTGCTAAATTTCTTTTGTTCGATAAGCAACTCAAGCAAGAACAAGCAATCACCTCCTGAAACTTTTTCCACATAAATACGCATCGTTTTCTCCTTAACTCCTCATAAAAACCATATAGTCTGTTCATTTTTGAGCATTCGTGATTGCCCCGCAGTAAATGTATTAGATGCGGAAACTTGATACGATAACATAGTAACAGCATTATGACCTGAACAGTTTGGTTGAAAGCAAAAAGAAAAGACTCAATCCAATCCTTCTATTTTATAAAGCGCTAACTTTGTGTGTCGGTTTGTGTATCTGTATGTGTGTGTGAGTGTGTGTGTATGTATGTGTGTCCGTCCGCAAAATGAAGTGAGTGAGAAGGAAGCTCATGGGATAAACAAACCGCTAACAAATCGGGTAGCTTACAGGATTTGAGATATCAATGTTTTGTAGCAGGATAGTTGTGATAACACTCTCAGGGCTATATAAACACCTGCTTAGCACACTTCCGTTCATTCCACATGGTGCTGCAGTGGCAGCTGGAGGGCAGTGGAGAGAGGAAGGGAGGATGAGGAAGGGAAGCGAAAAATCTACCGTCATATCATGATTGTGTCCCTTCTACTGTTTGAAACACCATTGTGTTGCATACGCGTCACTTCCACGAGGTGTTGGTGTCACAGGAGGAAGGGACCATAGCGGAGGATAGAAAGCTTGCGCAGGAAAGGAAGGTCCCGGCGGTTGACGGGGGACTAATCTGGTTATCAATAAAAGCACATTAACAGAATGTGCTGCTCCTGCTGCTGAGTCGTCTTACGCTCACGAAAATTCGTGAGCTAATCTTGCTGACGAAGCAGCCAAAAGGTTTGTGTGGGTGGAAGGAAGAGTGAAGATCAGAACGAAGGTTCAGAAGGCGCTGAAATTCCATAGCTGGGAGACAGGCGGACCTCCTAAGGGTGCGGGCTAACACACAATTGGCAGCGAAAGATTGAACTCGGCGATCTAGCATGGCTCACTCTTGGCGCGCAGTTGGCGGGGTACGCCCACCGACTATCTAATCACTCGCCGCAGATCTATACGTGGCGAGTGATTAGATAGCAGAGAGAGCGTAGTGTTGAAGAGGGCACAGCGATGAGAGTCGCATCAATGCGCAAATCAACGGGCAAGGAAGGGGTCCCATTTCTCGGGTTTCGGGCCGTTTCAAATGGTTTCTTCTTCATCCCTGCTCCACTGACCACCTCTACCCTTATTTCCAGTGAGCTAAATTTTCATCGTAGACTCTTGCCTTTAATTTCCTTTGCTGTTTGGTCGTTGATCAGATGGTCCGACCAACAGGTGTAAGTGCTAGCTATTACCAGGCTATATGCATGCTCAATTCCATATGCCCACCACATTTTACCAAGAATGTACAGAGATGCTGGCCAACCGAAAATCCTTGACCGCAATTTCTTTGGACTACTCATAGTTTCGCGAGAAATAAACCCCACATCCGCATCCCACAGTGAGCGTTATGATCTCCGAAACGGCATTGATCAATGGAGTGTCACTTCATTTTATATTATTTTCTAGAGTAATTTATCTTCAAGTACACTGCTGTTTGCCCTAGAGATTCGCTGATAACGATCCGTAAGAGCTAGATCTAGGTCGCAGAAGAATCGTTTGTAAAGACCAACTTTTTTACGCTGTAAGATTCTGCTCTGCAAGTAACATGAGTGACGCCTTTCATACGTGTTTGAAGTGAACAAATATTACAGAAGACCACCCTTAGGACAGATCTGATGTGTGCTTTCTTTCCACAGTCATTTCCTTGTTCTGTCTCAGCTCCGCCTGTCTGTCATCGAATGTTACAATAGTTTCTTCATCGTCAAAGTAACAGTCGTCCCAGCGGTTCCTGTACTTTTGCTACTAACGGGGTGAAGAAGATGCGTAAGCTCTAGCCACATAAGTAGCGTCACTCAGCAAAAGCTCACCTTAGAAAGCCGCCAGAGGAGACTAGGATATGTTCAAACTCCACCTTTCCGCCTATTCCATTTCCCCGCCCACTTGCTAGCGAGAGATCGCGTGATTGGGAGCGTGTTCCTTTCGCAATTGCACGGCTGGCTCGTGGTTCTTGCACGGTTGCGTGTAAACTGTTCCCCGTTTCAAGGAATGCCGCCTGCTTCTGCTCAGTTTTACTTGCTTAAATCGTTTATCATATTTCTTCGTTTGTGTTCGTCAGATGCGATTGCGGCCGCATTTCTTGCTGGCATGAGCCCTTCCTCAATTTCAAAGGGGAAGAGGGAGAGTCCCTGTTTGGAGGCTTCATCTGCGGTCTTCTCGCTTTTCCCCAATGGCAGTCAATCCGCTGTCCACAAGTTAATTATCGACCGCATTTACCCCGCGAATTCGATCTGGAATTGTTGCTTTAACGGATATGCTTATTACTGCAGATTATCGTGGTCCCGTCAAAGGAATCGCTCATAGAACAGTCACGATACTCTTTCATTAATAAATCATTGGCTTGAGCCATCGTTCGAGATACGAACGAAATAAGTAGAAAATTGTGTTTGTTTTCTTGAACAATTGGAAAAACTCGAGGGACTGCTGCAATTCAAATTCTCGCCGTATATCTGCCACAATATTAGAGACCGGACGATTCACCTGGTTCCAAGTCTGCCGCCACTATGAACTCTTTCTGGCTTTTTTCACCCATGGCAATATTTCTCTCTTCTACTGCATCCTGTTCTTTGTCGAAACCGAGTTTCTTTGTCTCAATTCTCCAAATTCAAAGCTCTAACCGGATTCCTTCAAAGCAGCGCCTGACACGTGGCCACTCCATGGCGCACTTCTTTTCATGCGATCGCTTGTTTCTGCCCGACCCGCAGACCCCCGACCGTCCATAGAGTAACGCTTTTCTAAGCTTTGCTTCTTATAAACAAAAGTTGGACCTCTTTATGCGTTAAACATTGGCAACATCTCTCTAGCTCGAAAGTGACACATTCATGTTGGGAAAGAATGCAAGAAGTTTCTTTGACAATTCTTCAATTACAGTAGCAGTATCACTAACCCATACCTAGAGTAGGATCGAAATGACTCAGTTTCTCTAACAAAGAAGCGCTCCCCCCCCACCCCTTCTTCAACAAGTTTTGCACATCTACTCATCATCCCGTGAAACATTCGGCAAACGCGAAGTGCGTTAGATTAGAGCAATTAAACAGGCGCAAAGCCTCCTTTCCGTTGCTTCATATGTACCGAAATCAACTTCTCATGTCTTTTCTTTCATTTCGTTAAAATCGAAAAACGGTTTTTTCAGCGACTGATCTCAGTTTTCCTTTTTCCGACACCTCGCGTAGATGCACAATGCTTAGCGGTTTTGCATTCAGCACATGTTCCTAGACTCTGGACAAGGACAAACGGGACATCACAACATTTCTGCTTGTTCTCGAAAAGAAACATTGAAATGGAAATTTTCAAAGTAGGAAAAGACTTGGTCTTATCAAATTGAAAGAATCAAAAGATACAGACGTTCAGAAAGAACTGACGTGCGGACCATTATGTAGCGGAAGTTTGTCTGCAATGTACCAACGACCGCCGTCTTCACGAAAAGCTTCCGAGAATATGGAAAGTGTATGTATCGATATCCCTCTGGCAATTCAACGACAAAAAGCACAATTGTTGCTTCACCGAATGAAGCAAGCGACGTTGTCAAGTATCATCGCGATCACCAGCTTTGATGCTTATCATCGCGGAGTAAAAATATTGATGATTCAACTCAGGAAAGATTGGTTATCAATTCTTTTACCGTAAAGTGTTGTGGTGGTGTATATGGTGGAAGCAGCCGTAAATATATGCCCTGCCAAAGTTTGTTGATATTCGAAATGCCGATGATGCCGTTGGGAACAACGTTTAACGCTGTACTTTAATAATAAACAATTCAATAGATTTGCTGATGTACCTCGAACGATTTTTTGCACCTGTCAACGTAATCTCCTAGGAAAAGTATTTTATTTTGAGGAGGTGGTCCGACAATTGTGAAGAATCTGAAAAGATGCTGATTAGTCGAACTCGCACAACTAGGCACCTGACATTTCGACTATCGGCTGAACGACTTTATCAGCTTGATCATCACATGTCGTTTTGTCGCAACTAATCTCCACAACATCAGCTGTGAATGAAGGAGCTTCCTTATTTAAGAGAGACGTCAAAGTGAAGCAGGGTCAGCCATTGGGCAACAGGAATTCGAGGTCATTGGCAACAGTGTCACTCCTCTAGTGGTCCAACCTCATCACTCCTCCTATCAGGCCCTTCAACTCACCTTTGATCTCCCATCTGTACAGGGCCCGTTTCGCAGATCGAGGAATTTTCATAATTTCACTTAACCAGGAACCTCTTGCCGGAAATGACAAATACGTCCCTTACTACATTAGGAGCTGGCTAACAAACGATCCTGGATTTGAAACAGTACTTCTGATGGACCTTTGGACAATGGGGTACCCGACAGGAGGCCCATCGCGCGGCAAGAAGGCAGAGTCAGCGGACGAGTCGCAGCGCGTGATGTGCGATGTAGGACGTACAATGGTACATTCTATTTAACTTGACGCGAAATCACTACAGTACGCGCTGCGACTCGTCCGCTGACTCTGCCTTCTTGCCGCGCGACGGGCCTCCTGTCGAGTAGCCTGGACGTTGCTTACCGCATGCTGAACAGTGGCAAGGTTTCGAGGTTTCTGAACAGAGCCTTACACGATTTTCTTGTGCGCGGCATGAAAGCGGCTGCTTGCCTAGAGCCTGGATGAGGATAGCAGCACAACGACAAGGACGCGGAAGAAGGGCGAGCTTTTAGCCATCCAAAATGTAGCCATCATTACCGTAGTAAATCACGAAGTTGTCCATGGATATCACCAAATATCACAATTGGAGCGTCTATTTCCAGCGTGGCCGGCTGCGGTTCCAGAGACGACTTCGCCTGAAAAGTTATTTTCACACTCTCTAAGGCTGGATGTCAGAGTCCGCGATCCGCCGCAGGTTTCGCGCGATTTTCGCGATTTGCGCGATTTGCGCGATTTTCGCGATTTGCGCGATTTCGCGATTTGCGCGATTTTCGCGAAACCTGCGATGGATCACAGGAGTTGGAGGTGCCCCGATGAATACTGCGAGGTGCTGTTTAATCCTGGAAATTGAAGGAAGACTGCCCGTGATTCTACTCGTTTAATGTTATGTCTATTATTCATTGAAATGCTCATTCGTTTCTACTTTGTCTTTTCAGGGACGGAACTGCATCTATTCTGAACTGACCATGAGAAGTGAGTTTTACAAATGATAAATACAAATGCCCTCTTGTTTCAAGCTCTCGAATCACAACGTGTGTGATTCTACTTGCTTTATGGGGTGTGGTTCACTAGGGGCCGTATGCTATGCTCCCCAAGGGGGTTAGAGACGGAAATTCCTTTTAGATTTTTTTTCAGGTAGAAGCATAAAGAAGAGTCTCCCAATCCCCAATCTGAATCAGAATTTGCAGCAGGATCAATGATAAATTTGAAAACACTCACAGTGCCCGTGCTCGCCGCGGCGCCCTATCTCCTACTAAACTATAAAGCGCTTCGTCTGTTCGTCTGTCGTCTGTCTGTCTGTCTGTGTGTCTGTCACGAAATTCCCTAGCTCCTCGGGATCCGCCTGGAGGGACCGGGTCAAGTGTGGAAATGGGTGGGCAAGGTCTCACGAAATAAAAAACACACATCAGCTAAGCGGAGACCCGCCCACAGAGGGCGTGGCGTGCGTCGAAATGAACTGTACCGAAGACCAAGATTTCGATTTCAGTGACAAAACGACCTCGAAACTGGGCCAAAAAGTGGGTAAAGGTGTGCATTGGTAAGTCACATCGAATTAGGGAGACCCACCCCCGGTGGGCGGGGCGTTCTCTAAAAAAGCAGTGCTTTATGAAAAATTTCATAACTCGGTTGGGAGAAAGCCTACAGAGCAGAAAACAATTTGGTGTAAGGGAGCAATGTCTAAGGTGTTTCCTGCATACATGACGTGGGCGGAGGCCCGCCCAGAATGGGCGGGGCGCGCTCTGAAGTGTACAGCATTTTCTACAAGCCCTCATAATTCGGGTCGGGAAGTCCTAAAGAGCCGGAAAAAGGTGGATAGAGGTGTATGGAGGAGTGGAGGCCAGCTGTCAATGGTGGGCGGGGCTTGACCAAAGTGGGCGGAGTTTGCGACGAAAATTCATAACTCGGCTCCAAGAAGTCCCGGAGGCACGGAAAAAGGTGGGTAGAGGTGGGTGGAGGAGTGGAGCTTAAATACCATTAGTGGGCGGAGCATGTTCAAAGTGGGCGGAGTTATCACGAAAATTCATAACTCGATTCCAAGAAGCCCGGGAGACCGGGAAAAAGGTGCATGGGGGTGGTTGAAGTAGTAGAGCTAGAATATTATTGGTGGGCGGAGCAAGTCCTAGGTGGGCGGAGTTACCCAGGAAAATTCATAACTTGGTTCCAAGAAGTCCTGGAGAACGGGAAAAAAGTGGATATAGGTCAGCAAAGAAAGAGAAGTTAACTGCTACGGTTGGGTGGAGCGTGCGCTAATGTGGGCGGAGTTTGCGCCGAAATTGTAATTCGGCTCCAAGAAGTCCCGGAGGCAGGGAAAAAGGTGGATGGAGGTGGGTGGAGGAGTGGAGGCCAGCTGTCAATGGTGGGCGGGGTTTGACCAAAGTGGGCGGAGTTTGCGACGAAAATTCATAACTCGGCTCCAAGAAGTCCGGAGGCCGGGAAAAAGGGAGTAGAGGTCGGCAAAGGAAAGGGAGGCCAAATGCTATTGGTGGGCGGAGCACGCACCGAAGTAGGCGGAGTTTGCCACGAGATTTATTGTCCGGAAGCAGTCCGGAGACCGGGAAAAAGAGGATAATGGTTGACGAAGAAAAAGAGGTTGAAAGCCGTCGATGATGGAGCGGATAGAATTTAGCTGAGAATTCAGATATTCGTGTGTATCAAGCCAAATTTGAAAATTTTCGTCGCACCATCAAAATTCGCCGCAGATCTGTGTTGCGCGCGCAATGCGTGCGGCGCCAACTGGTAATTAAATACGTGTATAAAGTAGGAAGGGGATTGATCGGGATTACTCTCAATTCCTGTGATCCGTCGCGCAGGCTTCCCGCGGATCACAAAAATGCAAGTGCCCCATTTGAACAATTGAAACACTGGATATGAAACAAGTGGAATCATGAGCAGTCTCCATTAAACCATAACCATCAAGCAGAAGTGACGGCGGGATTGGAGAACACCTTGCAGTATGGATGGGGCACTTGTAATTTCCGTGACCCGTCGCGAAATCGCGAAAATCGCGCAAATCGCAAATCGCGAAAATCGCGAAAATCGCGAAAATCGCGAAAATCGCGAACTCTGACACCAGCCTAACAGTTGTAGAAGCACTAATAACGCTTGATGTTTGCTGATAGGTGAACAACGACGACTTCAACACTTGCTGATTTTCGAAGTTCATTGAGTTATTATAACTACATTCAAATACATGTACTGTGTGTACACTCTCTAAGTTGACGATACGCTGCTAATGTATTTAGTATGCTAACTGGCAGCCATATTCAATGATCTGCGATGTTGGTCCATGGCGGGATTTTTCAGATTTTAATATTCAAATTCAACTCTTTTTTCACTACGGAGCTTTCTACTCAGAAACTATATAGAGACTAGAGAACTGCCTAACCAACGAAATTACCACAACTTTCCACTGTTGTCATGTCTTCTTGAATCGTCTTGGAGTTCGAGCATGTTCGACTGCTTCTACTAGACGATATCAAAAAATCAGAGCAGTACAAGCGATGTTGCAAGTAATGTATGTGTCTTTGTCGCTCTAGTCATGGAAATATGGATCAGGGATATCTCAAGGTCTGAAATGCCACCAACTTCAGATGAGAGGGGATGCCTGCACGAATTTCTTGACATCCGCTTGGCTAGACCACTTGGTTACTGGTGAAATGGGTTGTCTATTTATCCACGCGGAAGCGTCAGTAGTTTGGACGAGATGAACCTGGAATCTCGACGCCAAAGCTGAACTCCATCTCCAGAAGGCAACGCTCGATGTTTGGAGGAACTGCGGTAGAATAGTACAGTGGGAGTTGCTTCCACCGAATTCTACTGTTACTGTCCTAACTGAGATCAGTTCGATCGTGCCACTGCTGCTTTACTGGAAAACAAGCGAAAAACATAAGGAGGTATACTTGTTCCACGACAGTGCTCGCGCACAAGTTGCAAACCGTTCAAACTTAGGTGGCAAATTCATGCCCACAAAGCGTGTTCACCATATCTTCATCAGGAAATTACCACCTGTTCTGTCGCTTATGAAACATTCAAGAGATAGGAAGTTCGACGACCAGGTGAACTTGAAAAGTGCCTAAGTTTTTCGCTTCTAAATTCCACAATCCTTCTATTTTATAAAGCGCTAACTTTGTGTGTCGGTTTGTGTGTGTGTATGTATGTATGTGTGTCCGTCCGCAAAATGAAGTGAGTGAGAAGGAAGCTCATGGATAAACAAACCGCTAACAAATCGGGTAGCTCGCAGGACTTGAGCTATCAATGTTTTGCAATGATTGTGATAACACCCCAACGGCTATATAAACACCTACTGAGCATGGTGCTGCAGTGGCAGCTGGAATAAAGTGGAGGGAGGTGGAGGGGGTTGGAGAGAGGGGACGCCCATTCCAAGTATGCTGGAGACACCTTAAATCTTGCTATTCTTGATTGATTTTTCTGCTCTAGGCTTTTTCAACCGAGTTATAACTTCTTTATTGAGCACTGCCCGGTTGGAAAACGCTCCGCCCACCACGGGCGGGTCTCTGTAATTCGAGTTATCAACTCAATGCACCTTGACCCACTTTTTCTGGATTTCGAGCTGTTCTGCCCCGCCCAGTACGGGTGGAGCTCCGCCTAGCTGGTATGTGTTCTGTACTTCTTAGCCAATGCCCTACCCATCCCAAACTTGACCCCGACCCTGTGTGCAGTTCTTCAGATAGTACCTAATTCCGGGACAGACGGAGAAACACATAGACAGACATCATGTACCGGTGAGGGGCGTGAAAAAAGTCACATTGCCCATGGCGCACATCGTTGAATTTTTGGTCGCACAGGATGCCGTTGTTGAGGAATGTTTTACGGCACATATTCTTTGGGTGTCCACCAGAGCAGAAGCAGGGTCTTCCTTTCACTGCCCCCACCGCCTTCAGAATATGACGTCATCTGTGGTCACTGTCGAGCCCAAGGGCTTACAGCATCGCTCGGTGTGAAGCTGCTACATAACTTCTTCAACCGATTAATTGGTGAATGCTAAGCTCATAAGAGACACTAGCTGTGACTGTGCAAGACCGCTTTTGACGAGCGTTCCACAGACGTGGTAATGGCTCACGGTACCTCGACGAATTCGTTGAGCTCGTACCGTGAACCATGTTTTCGTGGGAATATTTTGTATATCCTAGGTGTAGAAGGCTGTTATGTAACCTTTTTGATAGATTAAACTGTGTTTTTTGATATACACTTAAAGGCAAAAGTCGGGCTTAAAGGCAAATTCCGGGATTTCTGGCGAACTTTGGGTTTTCCCTG